CCCACCCCAGCCTCCCCCAACTCCTGCCACGCTTCAGCACTTTAGTTTGGGCACAGCTGCCGTGCACAAGGCACCAGCTGCCGTCTCGGGGGTGGGAAATACCTGGGAATTTTGCAGGTGGCCCCTGAGGAGGGCGGGGCTTGGCGAGGGGAGGGGACTTCAGTGGGGTACAATGCCACGGAGTCTGCCTTCCAAAGCCACCCCGCTTTCTCCAGGCGAACTGACTTCTGTCACCTGGAGATCAATTCTAATTCTAGATCTCATGCAGCTTTGAGAATGACAGGAGTCCTCCGTCCATGAATGTCAGCAGCACAGTGTGTCTTTTGTAGGACCGGCAAAAAAAGCATCCTTACAACTATTAAAAGGCTGTCCCCCTTTTTGGAAGACTTCATGCAAGGAGAAGCGGGTTCATAATTCTAGACACTCCCGTGGGGGCTTGACTTTTAAAGCACTGATGCAAAATGGTCTGGTAGTTATCAGTCTGTATGTACTGAATGTTACTGCTTATTGAATGTAATGAATATTTATACCTGACCAGGATGAAATAATGACACACTATGCACTTTACTAAATGATGACCCTAAACAGAACACATTAGTTTGTTAAAAGGTTTTTGCAGTGCATATTTATTTGTTACTAGGCTACCTGGAGATTGGCAACACCTGTCTCTGAAACGGTTGGCCACTCCACCTCCCAACAAAGGCAGTGGGCAGCTAACTGAGCTCTGGAGAGCCAGTCTGGTGTCGTGGTTAAGTGCGCGGACTCTAATCTGGGAGAACCGGGTTTGATTCCCCACTCCTCCTCCACTTGCACCTGGCTGGGTGACCTTGGGCAAGCCGTAGTTTTGATAAGAGCTGGTCTTGAAAAAGAGCAGTTTCTGTCAAGAGCTCTCTCAGCCCCACCCGCCTCACAGGGGGTGTCTGTTGTGGGGAGGGGAAGGGAAAGGCGTTTGTGAGCCGCTCTGAGACTCCTTCAGGTAGTGAAGAGCGGGGTATAAATCTAATCTCTTCTTCTTCTTCTTCTGCATGTGTGTGTGTGTGTGTCTTCTGAGTCTTCCTGCTTCCAAACCTTGTCATAGCTGCAGACACATACCAACCCCGCCCCCCAATCCCCGCAGGGCCCGTCACTCTTACCTTCGTGGTTGTACAGGTGGTTAAACCAGAACTCCAATGACCGGATGCTGTTGCAAGAGAAAGCGGGAGAAGGCGGTGAAGCAGGGCGCTGAGTGCCAACCAAGCAGCCCACCTGCGCCCCCTTCCTCCTGCCCTCCCCCCAAGGAGACACAGCCCTCCTTTCCTCAGTTTTATCACCACAACAGCCCTGCGAGGCGGTCAGGCAGAGGGCAAGAGAGAGACTGGCTGGCCCAGGGCCACCAAGGTGGACTTGGGCCTGGAACCCGCGCCTCCCAGATTCTCACCTGACCAACGCCACCCACGCTCTCAGTGCTGAAGCAAATGCAGCCAGGAGAAACGGGTCTGAAACATGGCCCCCTCCCTCCCCCCCCGGCCTGCTGGGGCACCCCGCCTTCCACGCTTCCCGGCACCTCCCAGACGCCCAGCTCGGGACAGGCTGGGGTTTCCCTGGGGTAAAGTGTTCCAACGAGGGATCCGTGTGTGTGCAGCTCCAAGGAACACCCCTCCACCCCCAAGGCCATCTCAGGTTGGAAAACGGGGGCAAGGGAGTTGTGTGGAGCCCCTTGTGCCTGCGCAGTGGTCCCAATCCAGATCAGACCCTTGAAGCACTCAGGGAGCCAGAGGTGTTTCAGCTGGAAAGGCTGTTGCCGGGCGGGGAGCCTCCAGTGCAGAGAAGGAAGGGCCTGTTGATCTCTCTCCCTCACGGGCCACGGGCAGGCGGGGGTGGCGGGGGCGGGGGGGCTCCACTACATCTCCCCCCCCTTCCTTTTCTAGTCAAGGACAGTAGCCTCAAGCAAGCTGGGGAGGGCATGACAATAGTACTGGCTGACCTTGCCGTACAGGCCGTGGAGGACTTTGGTGGAGGGGCCTGCGGAGGGGGGGGGAGGAGGAGGGTCAGGTGCAGAGCAGGCAAAGAACAGTCCACACACACACCCCCGCAATAAGGGACCAGATTCCCCCCAGCCCTCCCCCGCCCCCAAACTGCCATCCTTCGGCAGGAAAGATCCCTGGGAGGGCTGAGCCACACGCAGGTCCGGCTGGCGTCTGAGGCCTCTCGCGAGGGTCTGGCCACCCAGGGGGCAAGAAGAAGAGCCCGGGGGAATCAGATCCCGCCCCCCCCCCCCGTTCACTTGCACCATCGAGCCCACCTCCTGGTCCGAATCCATCCTCATGCTGCTCCCGCCCACGGACAAGGCAGAGATGACCCACCAGGACCACCCCGCAGTCTCGCCTGGCTGCGACTTCATTTTAGAAAACGAAGCTCTGCTACTCCCTTGAGACCAGCCGCATTGGCAAGCCAGGCAAGGCTCCTGATGTGCGCACGGGCCTGGATACGCCCACCCCAAAAGGGAGAGTCCAGTCTTTAAAACAGAGGACCCCCCCTCCCCTGCCCAGAGCGCCACTCAGGGCCACCCGCGCGGCTCCGTACCCAGCTGAGTGGAGGCCTCCACCACGCTCCACGGGATGTTCCGCCTCTGGCCGACGATCACGTCCAGCACGTAGGCCTTGAGCCCGTCGCCCAGGACGTCGCGGATGGCCGGGCACAGGTACTTCAGGATGAGGTGCCCCACGTTGGGGCTCACCGAGCTGTTCCCCAGCTTGGCCTGGAAAGGGGGCGGGGGTGGGGGAAGACCGCATCACAGCTGGCCGAGGCGTCCCGGGCTTGGGCTCTTGGCTGTGGTCAGGTGCAGCCCCCCCACCCGCCCAGCTGGCTGTGTCTCGGGGGAGGGGGCCACTGGGGAGCAGAGATTGCCAGGGCAGGCCCTCTTCCACTGCCTCCCCCATGTGCCTTCTCCCAAAATGCTTCCTGGGGAGAGGGGGGGCTGAGGCACAGCTGGGAGGCGCTACCCCCCATCCCACAGCATCGCAAATACTAAGAAGAAGAGATTGGATTCGTACCCCATGGCCCTTCACTACTCAAGGGAGTCTCAGAGCGGCTTACACACTCCTTTTCCCTTCCCCTCCCCACCACAGACACCCTGAGAGGTAGGTGGGGCTGAGAGAGCTCTGACACAAACAGCTCTTTTTTCAAGGACAGCTCTTGTCAGAACTACGGCTTGCCCAAGGTCATCCAGCCAGGTGCAAGTGGAGGAGGAGTGGGGCATCAAACCCGGTTCTCCCAGATGAGAGTCCGCGCACTTCACCACTACAACAAACTTAACCACTACACCAAACGAAACTGAGAGCAGGCAGGAAGTGACGTCACTGAGACTGGCAGCAGGGGGTGGGACCTGGCTCCCAGTCTGTAGGGCATGGGGGCTGAAGGGGGCGGCACGAGGGGTGGCACCAACCAGAGAAGCACGGCGCAGGTGGGGGGGGGCACACACTTCCTGGCATGTGAGAGGCCCCTCCCCAGGGACTGACCCCTCCTCCAGTACTTTCACTTTGCTGGCTCACAAGCAACAGCCCTGCGAAGGAGGCCGCTCTTGTTTACCTTTCACAGGCAGCCCAAGACCAAACAGGTGGCCCGTGCCGGGGGGGGGAGGGGCTCGAACCTGCCTCTCAGCCCAGGGCGAACTGCAGGGCCCAGGGCCAAAGAGACACTCGGCGCTGCCAGGCATCCGGGGGTGCTATAAATAAACAGGAGGGAAGGCCGGACTGGGGCTGCCGGCCAGACGGAACCACAGGGCTGCATCCTCGTGCCTGAGCCTTTCCAGGAATTGGGAACACACTGCCCCCCCCCTCGCCCACACAGCCAAGGACATTCCCTGCTGGCTGATGGAGGGGGGGGGGCGAGGGAAGGTAACCGTGGCCGGCATTCTGCGGCACTCCCTCCTGCCCTCCCCTGCCTCAGCCGATGGCCTGGGGCTCAAAAGGCCCCCTCCCGAAGGGCGAGGAAAGGGCTGCTGCTGCTGCTCTGGGGAGGTGGCCACCCTACCTCTGCCTCCCCCCACCCCCAGCCCAGGCAAGCAGCCAAGCCTCACCAAGGCCTGA